GGGGGGGGGGGGGGGGGGGGGGGGGGATAGGGCAAGGAGGCCCCTGGTTGGTTTGCGATGTTGCCTGCGGTGGGTTTGTGAGACGTAAAGGTATGTGGTTAGTGAACATGCTGACTCTCCGTGGTTAGGTGTTACTGTGCGTAACAGTGTATACTAAGGCAGACACAACAATGCCGGGCATTTGACTAATTTGATTAGAAAATAAAGAAAATTACAACACCTTAACTTTCAAATTACAATATCTTTGGTTTTATTGTTTCGTGTACAGCATTTGATTTCTCAAAAAGACATAAGTGAAGTGAATAATAGTTTGATACACAGTATAAAATGAAACAATGAATGAGTGAAACAAGGAGCAGTGTTTTCTACTGTTGTTTAACTTCACTGCCAGATGACTCTTTGTAAAGCCTGTTGCTATAAGATGCCACACTGCGGTGGTGGTGACGTTTTAGCTGAAGATCCTAGCAAACAATCAGGCGAGGCATTCTTTTCATAATCGCAGTCGTACAGCCTAGAGGCCGACTTAAATATTATTTGAGATGACGCCTGGCTGGTTAATTGCAGTCGTTGATTAAATTCTGTTAAATGATGCATAGATTTTGACAAATGGTTAAGAACTGAAGTAGGAAACAAGAAATCACACACAAAACGGCCTCCTTTATCTAGTTAAACACAATACACGTTATGAGGTTTATTCATTCATTCATCCATTCAGCCATCAATCCATCTTCCATTGTTTTTATACAATCAAGTTTCATATAATTTGTATGACACCCTACAAGGAGTTGTGTATTGTTTAATATATTTTATTAGGCTTGTATATTTGCTCAATAAAATTTTAACTGAATTCAGTGACTCTAAATGTAAAATGAAAATATTAATTTAAGCAGCTTAAAAAAGTAATAGTAAAGTTGTTGCAGTAATGAATGTGCAAATAATTAATAAATAATGAACTGATTCCAACGTAATTTCCTAATATTTACTTGCCATTGATAATATTCAAACCGCCTCAGAATAGCTCTCTATTATGCAGGAAAAAAACCCTCCAAGGGCTGTAGGCAGTAATTAAATTCAGACACAATAATTCAGTAACATTCAGCATTTTTCTTTCTTTTGTGGGCTGTTGTACTTTTTGTCTGCTCCAGCTATCTGACCTAGAGAAAGAAAACAGACAAAGGTATGTTTAAGTCTCCCAACCCCTGTAATATCCATAAGTGAAACTGCCTGATTTGCTTACATCAGACATCAAATGTAGCCTGTGCGTAATCCCAGCCAGCCGGGGCACGATAGCTCTGTTCTTTGTGCCTGTCTCCACGAAACACGGAATAGCTCTCAGGATCTACATAAAAGCCACCGTCCCACTTATGTAATGTAATGAGAAACGATGTCAGTAATGATCAGAATGATGTTTCTGTTAGCG